AGTTATTGGTACATCTTCCTCTATCACTAGTTTGTAAGCTCTTCAAGTGCTAGAAGGAACCATTATGTTATTTTTTCATCTCCAGAACCAAACACAGTTCTTGGTATATGATACGAGATTGATGGTCTGTTGATGAGTGAATGAATGAAATGAGCAAATATGAAAATGAAATTACTTTTTACAACTGAAGCTGCCTGCTGACAAGCAGGGCTGAAGACAAATTTTTAAATGCTGACTGCTGCAGGGAAGGCCAGCCTGTACAGTGAATCAGTGAAGCAGCTCTGGACAACAAGGAAGCTTCCAAAGCTGGTCCCTGGGCAGCAGAGACAGTTGTCTCCTTGGATAACCTGGCCACACTGCTTGCTGGCAACCATTTTCCTTCATGATACTGAAAAAAAAAACAATCTCTCTGATGCCTTAGGGCTGTCCTTGATTTTAAGACATTATTCATTTTCTGAATTTATAAAGAGTTTAATCATGTGTACTTGCCAAAAATATAAAGGTACAAATAATCACTAATAATTAAGGCCCTGAATTAAAAAAAATAAATCTACAAAGCCCTCTTTTCTCAACTATATATTAATATGTGGAACATTTCCTTCATTACTCTGTCAGTGATGGGCTTTATGTTGTGAAAATCTCAAAACCTAAAGCTTATGCAATGAATAGGTCTTAATGTCCAATTGAGAGGGGAAGAAATGTATTACAATGGATACCAAGTAACTGTTTCCTGATCTTTCGAGTACCTGTACCATCTGAGTGGCTGTGTGAAATGGCTACAGGCTTGAACGAGGTAGATTGGCGTCTGAAAATTAATGTCTGCTGATCATCTTTTCAGCGACAGGATTGAAGAAGGTGGTGAGCAGGGTACACAAGTGAAGGTGGTCTACCTGAGTCACATCTGAGGAGAGTTCTCAGATTCAGTAGAGGTGAAGTCAATGAGGAAAGGAACATGGGTAAGAATAGGCAGCAAGGTCAGTAAAAAGCCAGATCATGAAGTCAATCAGAGAGGCTTATGAAGACATAATTATAACATGAAAAGTTTTGGAAATCTAAGCCTCACTCATTCATTCAGAGGAATTAAAATGGTCCATGAGAGGTTGGGTAGGTGGGAAGACATCAACCAAAGAACTTGCATGTATATATGCATAACCCATGGACAGAGACAATAGTGTGGTGAAGGCCTGGGGTGGGGGGCGGGGGAGGACTGAAAGGGGTCAATGGGGGGAAAAGGAGGATATATGTAATACTTTCAACAATAAAGATTTTTTTTAAAAGTCATGGCTAATAATAATAAAATGGTCCATGAAAAAAGAAGGATGGTTGAATTGAGGCACATACCTGGTAATTTACTATACTTCTGGGGCTCTGTGAAAGTAAAATTGGACAGCACTTAAATGGAATAATGTTTCTACAATCCATTAAAGAATGTTTAAACATTTTTCTGGGAACTGAAGGGAGTTCTGAATAGGCAGTTTGGGAGTGATGATAAAGCATCCTTTGGGTTATAACACATGAGAAATTTTGTCAAGCACACATATCTTAAAACCACATAATAGTAAATGCAAGCAAGATTCTTCCTGTGAACATTTCTTAAGTTAAGGGGCAGCATAAAATGACATGGGGCTTTAACATCATTAAATTTGCGTTTGACCTCGAGCTTCCACCGCTATTGTCATGAACCTTAAGTAAGTCCCTTCACCCTCCTGAGTTTACGTTTCTTTATCTAATAACAAGAATAATCACAATAAAATGGGACCCAGCGGAAGGGTGTAGCGAGGCATCCGTAGGCGTTCTGTAAGCCCTGCAAATGCCAGCCTGTTACCCTGAGTTCAGTGCTTCCTGCGGTGGAGCTGGGAGTGTGCACCTGGGCCCCTTCACTGGAGATTTCGGGGAAAGCTGCTCTGGTCTCAGGCCTTGGGCTCCGTGGGCATCCCTGGCTGAAGAGCATGACCCTCCATGAAGGCAGGGGAGCCAGGCGGCCCTGCAGCCGGGACGGCCAGGCTGGGAGCACCCCGAGGACGCTGTGGGTGGTCCGGGGCCATTTAAGTGAAATGTCAGCCCGGAAAACAAAACCGCCCCTTCCAGCCTCTTCCCCAAGGCACCTGCGGAGGGGTCCTTTCCTGAACCAGTTTTGTCTGAAATCCTAACATTCCAGAAGCCTGAAGAGGCCACCTGTGCTGCTGTGGAGAGTTCTCTCTCTCAAACATCAGTGCCTGCGAGCAAGGGCCCCCGCTCTGAGGACCTGAGGCGGCTGAGGTGCCGAGGCTGGACTCCGGGGCGCCCCGTCGCCCGGAAGCCGTGTCTCCATACCCCCTCCACCCTGGGCTCAGCTCCCAAACCGCCATGGTTTCTTACTGTCGGTCGGATTCGCAAAGGGCACCGACTCCCCCATTCCACCTCCAACTGTCAAAGGCTCCCACAAAGGGCACCAAACCTCCATGTGTCCAGGCCAATGGTCTGGCAGGGGGTGGGCAGCAGGCAGGCAAGGACAATGCTGCACTTGACCCTCCCTGCAGGGCCCTGAGGTCACCAGCTGTTACCCTACAGGGGTGTGGTGTGGGGGAGACAGACCCTTTTTGTCCTTCCAGACTCCATCCTAACCCCCAAGTAAAATGATCATTGGGAGGCTCAAGGGCTGCCTAGGGGTTTCTGAAGAGGATGTGGGAGAAAAAAGTACAACTTTCATTCCTATTGATTTGTATTTTACTTTCAATTTTTAATTTATTGTGGGTTTTTTTTAAATAAGCAGCACATTCATATGCTTTAAAAAGGTAAAGTTAAAAGGATCTCGAAGAGATATTGGTACCCCCATATTCATAGCAACATTCTTCACAATAGCAAAAAGGTAGAAGCTAAGGTAACAAGGGAGGACAGAATAAACAAAATATGGCATATACACGGGAATATTATTCAGTGCCCCCACTTGCTACAATATGAACTTGGAGGACACTATGCTATGTGAAGAAAGTCAACGACAAAAAGGCAAATACCATATGATCCCATTTGTATAAGGTGTCAGAGTGGTCGAATTCACAGGACTAGAAAGGAGAGTGGTGGTTGCCAGGGGCTGGAGAGCAGGCATGGGTAGTTTCGGTTTTGCGAGATGAAAATGTTCTCTAGATGGATGGTGGTGATCATTGCACAACACTGTGAATGTACTCAATGTCACAGACGTGTACACTAAAAAATTAAGATGGGCCCGGTCAGTGTGGCTCAGTGGTTGAAAGTCTATGAATCAGGAGGTCTCAGTTCAATGCCCAGTGAAGGCACATGCGTGGGTTGTGGGCTCAATCCCCACTAGGGTGTGTGCAGGAGGCAGCTGATCACTGATTCTCTCTTCACTGATGTTTCTATCTCTCCCTCTCCATTCCTCTCTGAAATCAACAAAAAATATAGTTTTTAAAAGGGTTAAGATGGTCAATATTATAGTATGGGCATTTTACCACTATTTTTAAATAAGAAAAATGGAAAGAGTACAGAAGTCACTCTTCCTCTTCTGTCCAACAGCCATCCAATTTCTTCACCCAAAACACCTAACATCACCAGTCTTTGTGTGTCTTTCCAGAGTCTATGTATATACACGCAAATCCATAAGAAGGTATAGACAGGTTCATATGAGGAGGAATTAACGCCCAATACACTGTGATACAGGGGTTCAGTGAGACCGACTTGAGACCCTTTGAGCTCTTATATTAACGAATGATGCCCTTATAATGATTGGGGACTTGACTCCATGCTCTAAGTCTTGCTCCGTATAATATAAGCCACGCTAACATCGTATAGATTTTTGTGGGCATAAAATTCCTCGAACCCAGCATGTAAAGAGGACACATGTGTCAATATAGTGTGGGTTAATTGGGGGAGGAGAGACTTCCAATCAAAATACCAGAGCCCTGGCCAGAGTGGCTCTGAGGCTTGTATGTTCTCCTGTACTCTAAAGGTTGTATGTTGGATACCTTGTCAGGGCAAACGCCTGGGTTGCAGGCTCAATACGTGGCTGGGGCCATGCAATCAATGTTTTGCTCTCATGTTGATGTTTCTTTCTCCCTCTTCTTTCCCTTCTCTCTCACATTTTTCACATATCTTTTAAGCAATTTAAAAGAACAAAACAGAATTTACTCAATCCCTATGTTTCCATAGAAGGGGATTAGGCCAGACTTGTTGGACCATGTGTCCCATGGCTACAGGTCCTGTGGAGAGGAAGCCTGCATGGAATGCATCACGCTTATAGGGAAGGTGAGGCAGGGACATCTATACCACCACCATGAAAGCTGTTGGATGAAAGAAATGATCTCATTGGAAAAGGGGACTATTTTTCCATTATTTGCTGGTACTTGCTGAGCTAGCGATCTGGTGAGCTACTGAAAGGGGACAGGAAATGAGTCTCCAGGACGGTCCCATTTGTTTCTCCTCACCTCCTGGATTCCCCACACTCACTGATCCCCATTCCCAGGCTGTACCTTAAGCACACTATGTATTTGCTGGCTCACTGGTCAACCCAGAGAAAAACACTTGCTTTCATTCTCAGTAAGGAACTTTGGGAGGTAACTTGGGCAGGCACCAAGAGAACAGTATCAGCAAACTAATTAACCACATAGGAACTGGAGGCCCTTACACTCTGCCTAGAACCCCACCTAACCATTTCAGATAAGAATTCCAAATTGTCCCTATTCATTTACCCTTTATTTTTATTGAAAATCTCATCCTCATTAGACAATCCTTGTTGTATAGCTTCTGTGCCATGTTTTGCTTATATGTGGCGTTGAGAGGTCTAAATGTATCCCTTAGCCAAGGCGGCCACTTTCTCCAGCATCAGCCCTCCTAGAAAAAGACACATAAATATGAAATCTGCATTTCTCCTGCTTCTCCTGCCACAAAAACATGCTGGGCTGTTCCCATTCCCACTGCTCTACTGGGGGACGCTGTGCTATTGTCCTGTGTGTGGGTGGTACCATTCTGCATCTCAAATTGTTAAGCCACCAGCAGTTATCTGGGGGCATTTAGGTCAATTATTAAATCTTGTTCACTCAGAATTTCTTTTACTTACACAGGCATTTAAATCTCATGACTAACTGTGATTTCGTGATGACTCTCCTCTCTATGCAAGAGTGGAGGAACCGTTATCACTTGGTGTCCTGCAGCCAAGGATCTGTGTGGATACAGAAGGAAGTTGGATAGTTACTGCTCACACATTTTTCTTTACCCTATATCTTCAGCAATTCCCTGGTAGCTATCCAACAGGTTAGAGGGGTTTCTGTTGTGGTTTGTTTTTCAAAAGACTTTTGATTCTTTATTATTTTTATTGATTTCAGAGAGAAGAAGGGAAAGAGAGATGCTCCCCTACTACCCTGACATGTGCCCTGACCAGTAATCCAACCATAGACTCCTGGTAAACGATACAACATTGAATCAACTGAGCCACACCAGCTGGGCTGGGAGTTTAATTTTAAAAAAATACCAAAACCTACTGAGAATTTTACACTAGCTTTTAAGGGTAAAGATCCTGCTACACCAGGACAGGGCACACATTTGTGTATGATCTTAAAAGCTTGGGGGGCAAATAGGCTCAGGGACCCAAATATTCTGACAACCCCAAGATCTGTTGAGAGGGGCGAAAGTGAATGATCCTGTACAGATAGGTTAAATATGTTATAAATAACTGGTGAGCCAGGGGGACAGAGCACCCGAATAGCCTATACCCCTGGGGGAGGAGGTGTCTGCCAGTTCTCAGGGACTGAGTGTATTGGGGAAATAAGGGAGAGAAGACCTCTTCACCTGGTTGGACCACACTGCTGCTTGAGGAAGTATTGGCTTCCCTAGGGATTCCAGCTTCAGCCCTGCTTTTCTTGCCTATGGCCCTTGTTATTTGCATATAAATACTTGACTATTTACACTATAATTCCTTACCTCAAGGCTAGAGTTAGCTATGAATTGATACATTTCAAATACATGCTTTATTAACTATACTAATAAAAGCCTAGGTCAAGGGTGGGCAGCCTTTTTGTGAGT